AAACATAGAATTCTGTAGACTTCATGTACAGAAACAATAACTATGTAGATATTATAATAGTAGGAAAAACTTCATTTATAATAGCAGTAAAGAAGCTAAAATACTTTGGAATAAAGTTAGCAAGAAGTGAGCAAAATTTATATGAGGAAAACTTTAAAACACTCCTGAATCACAAAAAAACTAGACTAGAACAAATGAGAAACCATCCCTTTGCTCTTAGAACAACTCAACATGATAAAGACATCAGTTCTCCTTAATTTATAAGTTTAATAAAATCCTAATAAAAACGCCAACAAGCTTTTTTAATGGACCTAAATGAGTTAATACCAAAGTTTATATGAAAAAAATAAAGTTCAAATGAAAAGAACAGCCAAGAAAGCCAATATGACCTCAATGAAATAAAAAAAATAAAATAAAATAAAAGAATAGCCAAGAAAACATTGAAAAAGAAAAGAAAGAAAGAAATCCATACCTCATACCATAGGTGAGAATAAATCCAAATATATAAAAGATCTAAATGTAAAAAGGGAAGCAAACAAGTGTACTAGAAAAAAATATGAATTCCTCTATATCTGGATGTAAGGAAAGAATTTCTCTATGATCTGAATATAAGGAAAGATGAGATGAAAGAAATGAGTGATAAATTTGACCACATATAAGAAAAATACTTTTGCATGGCCAATAATACCATAAACAAAGTCAAAAGACAACTGAAAAACTAGGAAAAAATATTTGCCATATGTATCACAGCTAAAGAGCTAATATATCTGGTAAGTGACTCTTAAAAACTGAAGAAAAAAAGACCAAAAACCCAAAAGACATGAAGAGAAAATTCACACACAGAAAAGAGAGAAAAACGGCCCATAAACATATGAAAAGATGTCCAACCTCACTTATGATAAAGAGAGATGAAAACTAAAACTACACTAAAATACCCTTTCTCATCAGATTGGCAAACATTTAAAAATGACAACACATTCTATCGGTGAGGCTGTGAGGAAACAGGCCTCTCATATGTTACTGACAGGAATCTGGCAATTTCTAACAAAACAACAAACTTATTTACCTTTTGATTCAGTAATCCCACTTCTAGGCGACTCCCCTGAAGATATACCTCCAACAATACAAAAATACTCATGCACAAGGTTATTCATGGCAGCTTTTTAGTAACTGCAAAATACTGGTGGTGTCCTTAATGCCCATACCTAAGGGACTGGCTAAAACAAATTATGATACATCCACACAATAAAGTACTAAGCAACTATAAAAAATGAATACAATTACTATTAATTTATATACAGCAATTTCCAAGATATATTAGTAAACAGAAAAAGCAAACGAAGTATCTGCAGTGTGCCATGGATATAACTACTACTTTGTTTAAAAAGAAACAGAGGAGGGGCAGGCCTGGTGGCGCAGCAGTTAAGTGCGCGTGCTCCGCTTCAGCAGCCCGAGGGTTCGCCCGTTGGGATCCCCCGGCGGGCACCGACGCACCACTTGTCAAGCCATGCTGTGGCGGCATCCCATATAAAGTAGAGGAAGATGGGCATGGATGTCAGCCCAGGGCAGGTCTTCCTCAGCAAAAAGAGGAGGATTGGCATCGGAAGTTAGCTCAGGGCTGACCTTCCTCATCAAAAAAAAAAAACAGAGGAAAGCTAAACACAAACTAACAGGATTAGTAACCTAGCGGGTGGTTAGGAAGGAGAGAGAAGGGGAGTGATATTTCTCTAAGTTCATCTTTTAATATAGTGCTATCTTTTGGAACCATACTAATGTTTTACACACTAAAAAAAGGGGGAGACAAATAAGTAAATAAAATTTTAAAATTTAGGGGGATAAAAAACTTAAAATGAAATATAAACAGAAACAAATGAACCTAACTCTTCGAAGAAACTAACCGTAATGAAGTGGGGAGGAGAACTATACACCCTCATAGTAAAGATAAAAAGAACCAGAAAATACTGAACTCTAGTTTTTAAGTTTGTTTTTCACAGTGCTGTATATCAGCAATTCTGAAACTACTTTCTGTATATTCTAGAATTGATGAAATAAGTAAATATACTGTGGGTAAAAGGAGTAGGTTTCTCACTGTTGCAAAAGGAAGTGATTTGATACATGTCCCAACTTGAGTACCTTGAGAAGAACATAAAGATTATATTAGATAGCATAACCACCTCATTACTCCATAACTTATCCATGGAAACTGCAGCAAACTTCACACATTTGACTTCCCTCCTCCTGCCATCCCCCAGAACATGCTTCATCTCTCAATTATTTTTTACATATGTAATAACCAAGTTTTCTGAAAGCATTCGACTTTCTATGACTGAAATCACTCTTTTCTATTAAAAAGCACAGAGATCCTTTACAACACACCTTCAGATTTAAAATTGTATTGTACGGTACTTTTTCTATGAAAAACTCACTACTTCTCTACTTCTCACATCTTCTCTATTTAAAGCTTTCATTATCTCAACTGTTCAAGGAATGAGTTGTTCAATTTTTTTGTTAAACCAAGATTAATCTAGAAACTCATTTCGTTTAAACATTTTGAAGAATAAATTGCTAAAATATATTTTCCAAAATAATATGGTATACAGCACACAGATAATGTATTTTCTCAAACTTGAGGGCTTTTCAGTGTCTCCAGATTATTTAGTTATTGCAGTTAAATGCAGTAGTAAGTGTCGACGCAAGAGGCTGAGAAGTTGCTCTTTTGAATAAACCTCTGAATTTGTTTCCCCATATACAAAATGAAGGTATTACCCTGCATGACAGCCTGACAGAATTACAAAACTCAAATTATAAATGTGTGCGTGCTGGATAGTTTGTTGTTGATTAGACCTCACTGCCATTCCTTTTCAGGTCTTCCTTGCAAAGGAAAAAAAATTAACATCTCCAGATTCCCCTCTAGAGGCAGCTGTAGGCAGATATTTGGGTAGAGACGCATCTTCCAGGTGAGTAGTTTCTTGAGAACGAGCCACTCTGGTGCTACAAACTGAGAGAGTTCTTAAAATTTCCAGTGGCTTCTGAGAAAACAACCAGCTTCCATGCTTCAGGCTGAAGTAATCAGTGACAGCTTCCCCAATTCCCCAAGCCCTTCCAAAGCTTATAAAAGCGTTTAATTCTCTGTGTTAAAACTCTGATGCTTGGAATTGAGTGGCTTCTGCTTTCCTAATCAAACTCTGATTGACTGATACAGTATATGTGAAACTATTCTATAAACTGAAAAAGACTATATAAAAGCATGAATTATTTCTGTTCCCATTGATAGGAAATTTCAATTGAAGTTGTTTTCTAGTAATCAGCCTCTTTTTAGACAAATCAATGCATCCAAAACAAAGCTTTCCTTCCACAAATCAATAAAACAATAAAACTTTTCTTTGCTACAAAAATTAGCTCTCTACCTAACTTCATTTCCCTAATTAATCATTCATTCAATCAAGGGATATCTCCTAAGCAAGGCACTGTGCTAGGTGCTAAGAGATTCCTCTTGCAAGAATTTATAAGATGTGAGAATAATAAAAGCATAATATTCATAACATAACTGTTACAAGTCATGAACCACATGTGATGGTGGGTCAGAGAAACGATGGATTAAATTTGACTTAGGAGTGAAAAGATAAAAATCAAAAGAGGATTTAAGGAAGAAGAGAAATAAAGATTAAGTAGAACTGAACAGTAAAGGGTAGGAAGACTTCTCAAAGTAGAGATAATGCAAGAAACTGGAAGAAAGAGCATGCTCAAAGACATAAAGCTAGCAACTCAGGGACGTGTGGAGAACAAAGGCTTGTGATACACAGTAGCTTACACATGGAGTGTGTACAAAGCAGAGTAGGCTGAGCCCAAATAATTCAAAGACTGAAAAGCTAAACATTTGGACTTTGCTATTATCCAACTTCAGATTCATTTACATTTATAAAATTTTATGCTGAGATAACAAAATCAGGCTGCTAATACCCTCCCACAACAAGAGCCTAATGGTAATATGAAGAACTAAGCAGAGAAAAGAAACTGATCTTCCTAAAATGCTGTTTTTATCCTAATACTCTTATGTTCAAAAACATTCAATAACTTCTGAATGCCTACTTTTATCAAGTCCTTCAATACCATGGTCCCCATCCTATGCAGCGATAATTTTTACAATTGCCCAAAATGTACGACACTCTCCAGATGCACTATTCTCTGTATTATTGGCACCTGACCACAGCCAGAAAACCCAAGTGGAGTGATACTGTGTATTATTAGTCTGCTCAGGCCGCTGTAACAAAATGCCACCAACTGGGCAGCTTAAACAACAGACGTTCATTTCTCACAGTTCTGGAGGCTGTAAGTCCAAGATCAATATGCCAGCTGATTTTGTTCCTGGTAAAGGCTCTCTTCCTGGCTTACAGATGGCCACCTTTTCACTGTGTCCTCACATGGCCTTTCCTCTGAGTGCACACTCAAAGACAGAGAAAGCTCTCTCTCTCCCTCTGCTAAGGTCACCAGCCCTCCTAGGTTAGGGCTCCACCCTTATGACCTCATTTAACCTTAATTACCTCCGTAAAGACCCTATCTCCAAACACAGTTACATTGAGGGTTGGGGCTTCAACATATGAATTTAGGGGGGACACAAACATTCACAAACTGAGGCTAGACTTTAAGAGGTTTTGCATCTTCTGCTCTTACCCTCTTGAAATACTTCCTCCATCATGTGAAAAAGCCTAGCCTAGCCTATTGGAGAATGAGAAGCCACACAGGAACTAAGGTATCCCAGTTAATAGCCAACAGCTAGCACCAATGCCAGATATATGAGTGAGGCCACAGTGGACCATCCAGTTCCAGTCAAGCTATCAGATAACTACAACCACATCAGCGACCCCAGGTGAGACTAGCAGAACTGCCAGCTGAGCTCAGTCACAATTGTGAAATTGTGAGAAAATAAATGATTGTGGCTTTGAGGTCACCAAATTTGGGCATAGTTTGTTACAAAGCAATAAATATCTGACATGGCATACCTTCTTGTTCTGCTTTTTGACCTAGACCTCTGAATTCTATAGGATTTCCCTCGCCCCCTTGAACGGCTTCGACTTCGTTTTCTTCTAGAGCCATACGAAGAGCTACTGCTTGATCGATGCCTGCGTCTGAAAATAAAATATAATCAAAAGTATCATTGCTATAAAAAAATTTTATGGGCATTAGAGAGACATCATCTAGATTCTAAAGAATCATCTCATTTTCACTATGTCTCACTCCTTTCTAGAAGCAAATAGAGATAAAATGTTATTCCTCTTGAACAGTCAGATGACTGATTCATAAGTGAGTGATTGGATCAGCTACTAATTAAGACAGTGGGAGTCTTAAGTAGTATACAATCCTTCCAAATATTATCAGATAATATGGTATGAGATCTATACCAGTTTATACCTACTTGTTTACAAACAACAGACAAAGGATGAAGACACTAGACCCATGGGCTGGACCTGTCAAAAAAAACCTTTGAGTTGGGACTTAACACTTATAAATATATAACTACTAAAAGAAAAATGTTTTACTTAGAAAAATTAAAAGTACAAAAACATACGAACTCTAAAGAATGTTACTCTCATTACTGTGTAAGTAAAAATTATAAAAATCACCTTCTATCATAAGAATGTGAGCGAGGCTGACGATCTCTGGACCAAGACCTTGACTTTGACCTTGACTTCCTTCCACCTTTCTTTCGGCTGTATGTTCTACTGTCTGAAGAACTACTTGAAGATGACCGTCTACGGTGTTTCTTTTTTCTCTTGCTTCTGCTTTCTTCTTCAGTATCTGATGACCGGCGTCCCATTTCTACAAGCTTAAATTCAAAGAAAATTATTTCAAACATAATGGCACAATGGATGAAATTTAATATAGTAATTTTTGTAAAACTTCATAAAAATTTAAAAAGTCTTAAAGTAAAATTTTAAATATACCTGGCTTTTTGACAAGACATGAGAAACAGCTCTAGTACAGTCTTCTAGGATTATTAATTCTTTTTACAATTTATGAACAATTGAAATTTGTCCTAAATTTTTTCAAATGTCTTTCAAAAGAGTCAATCCTGAGGACAGTTCATTATAACAATTTTCTTATATTTTAAGTTGCATTTATCATTAATTACATGATATTTGGTTTAGAGATCAACTACCTAATTTCATTTTCACATTCCCTAGAGATAAAAGATATTTTACCATCTTTTAGAGTTACATTTTTCTCACTGAAAGTTCTAAATTTTTAAATAGATTTGACCTCACTAGTCATCAACAAGTACAAATTGAAACAATAAACTATCATTATTTCACTTGTGAAGTTTGGGGGAGGAAATAGTAACTAAGGCACCAAAGTTGATGAGGTTATTGTGAAGTCAGTCAAATCTTCATACTGCTAGTACCTATATAAAGTTGTGGTATAAACCTTCCCGAAAGCAACTGAGCAATTTAATTAAAGAGTCATAAAAATGTTGATGCTTTTTTGACAAAGCAATTCTACTTAAAAGAATATATCTAAAAAGTTTTTCTTAAAAGAAAGATATATTCATGAAGATATTCATTATAGCATTATTAAAACTGTATCCACAGACACTACAATTTAAGAAAATATATACATATGAATAAGAGCAAAAATGAAAACAATTGATAATATTTAAGTGATGAAATTTGGTAATTTTTTTCTTTTTTTTAACTATTTTCTATATGGCTACAGTAATGTATACCTAGTATACAAAAGGAAAAAACATACAAAAATAGAACTTAAGGCTTTTATATTTAGGAATGCTGATAAGAAGCTTACTTGTCTTACTTTAAAGTTAGTCTTTAGATTCTCATATGCAATCTTATTTTTTTTAATAAAATAGATATCAGCTATCTTTCAATGTCACATAAAAGCAAGATCCATCCTGTGTAATGCTTAAGATAAATGGTTAATGGATCACATAACAAAATCTCACTTTCCTTTAATATTTATTTGAAATTGAAATATCATTACTATAAACAAAACAACGTGTTAAATTACAGCTTTGTTTTCAGAATCGTCAGGTAAGCCATCCCCTCCCTGAATCCAGTGCAATACCAGTTGAAAATCACTGTCAGGACTCAATTTAAAGCTTTTAGCTATTTATCTAGAGCCAGAATTAGACTTTAAATATAGTTCGCAACCTCCAAGTTGTTCACATTTCTAACATTTTACTGTTCAACACAACATTGGGAAGACTTGGTTGTAGCAACTTTTAGTAAATCACTAGCATATCTAAGCCAGTTTGCTCAGTGAAAAATGAAACTGCACTGGGTAAAAGATCACCATGATCATTTCCAGCTTCAAAATACTATGATTATGCAATTATATATATATATTCAGTATATATATACATATATCTTTAAATATGTGTTTATATAATATCTACTCACATATATATATACACACACACATACCCAATATCCATTATATATAATATATAACCACATATCTGTGTGTGTGTATTTCTATGAAGGAATTTGTACATAATTGAGTGATAATGATCATCTAAGTTTTCTTATTTCCTGGCTTTTTCTTCCTTTCTTGTTTTCACCTTTAAGCAGTTAAGAATTTTTCACGCACAAATAACCATTTAAATTAAGATTCGTTTTTATAATGTTCTTATTATCTAGTTAAAAAAATACTAAAACGAGAGTAAAAGGATAAAAAAGTATAAATTCACAAGGATAAAGAAATTACAAGAGAAAAGAACAGGAACAGACAAGATATGTCAACAAATTTTTAGGAAATGAAAAACAGATGGAAGATTTAGAGCTAAGAAGGTGAACACCAAGCAACAGCGGCAAATTCCAACAAGAGAAAAGCCAATCCACATAGCAAAAATCAGAAAGGATCAGGAATTTGAGACCCGGGATACCATAGTAGGCACAATGAGGCATAGAACTAAAAAACAAGGGAACTGGTTGAAAGTCTGCAAGAGAAGTAATCTCCCAGGTCCCTCCTCCATCCAACCCAGAAAGGTAACTAAGCTTCCCCAATCCCAACAGGAGAGGTGGTACACTTTGGTAAAATGACAAAACAATGAAGCACCAGGTCCAAGAGCACAGTAAAAGAGGGCAGAGAGTTGTCAAACTGAAAGTTAAAGGGATTAAGTGAAAGTCTACAATCTAATGGTAAATACTGTAGCCCTCTGTGTGCTTTGATCCAAGAATTCCGGGAGAGGAGGCTTATTTGCAAAAACTGAACAGTACCTGAAAAAAGACATGTAAGCATTTGAAGGTCCCCAGAAAAAAAGGCCAGGCCCTTACCCAAACACCCTATAACCTAGGCCATTAGTTAACAGGCCCAAACCTTAAACACAGTAAACTTTTTTCTGTAAACTTTTTTTCTGTTAACTTTTTAGTGATTATACAACAAAAGATAACCAATCATATGATGAAAGGCTTCATCATAATAGACAGAAACCAAAAGAAAAAGAAAAAAAGCAACTCATAGTAAACCAGAAACATGCAGAAGACAATTTCAAGGAAAAAAAAAAAAATCACAGTTAATATCCTCAGAAACACACAAGATGATGATCCAATAAACAAGAATAGGAGGAACATCCATAGAACAGGAGAGAAAGATTGAAATTTAAACAAACGATAATTTATAAAAAATACAACAGAGTTAGAAGATAAAGTCAAAGGACTCAAAGAAAGTAGAAAGAGAAAGATAAAAAATAGGAGGAAAAAAGAGGATCAGTCCAGGAAGTCCAATATCCAATTAATATGCATTCCATAAACAAAGTACAGAGAAAAGAGATCAAGAAAAATACCCAAAGAATAATTCAAAATAATTTCTAGAATTGAAAGACATGAATTGCTCTAAGTCTCTGGGACAATGAATTTAAAAAAAGACATACACCAGACATAGGTCATAAAAATTCAGATATTAGGAATATACAGTCATGGGCATCATAACATTTCAGTCAAGAACAGACGGCATATACGACGGTGGTCCTATAAGATTAGTACCATACAGCCTAGGTGTGGAGTAGGCTATACCATCTAGGTCTGTGTAAGTATACTCGATGATGTTCACACAAGGACGAAATCACCTAACAACGCATTTCTCAGAACATGTCCCCATTGTTAAGCAATGCGTGACTGCACAGAAGATCCCAGAAACTTCTAAAGAGGAAAAAATGGGGGAATCACAATAAAAGGCATAGGGGCTTCTCAAAAGTAACATAGAAAACAATGGAGACTTGCCTTCAAAATTCTAAGTGAAAATGATTTTCAACCTAAAAATCTACCTCCAGCCCAATCATTGATCTAATACGAGATCAGAATAAAGACATTTTCGGATACGGAGTCTCAAAATTATACCTCACACTCACCCTTTTTTAGGAAGCTACTGGAGACATGTGCTTCACTAAAAAGAAAGTAAACCAACAAAGATGACCCAGATTCAGAAAATAAGTGATCTAACACTAGAGATAGGCAAAAAGTCTTAGGATGACAGCAAGCCTAGATATAAGGGATATATGAGTGAACAAGAGACAAAAGTCCTTGCCCTGCTCTCAAGGAGCTTACATTCTAGTATAACGGCAGTTCTCAAAATGGGGTCTGTAGATCCCTGGGTGTCCCTAAGACCCTTTCAGGGGATCCAAGCCAAAACTATTTTCATTATAGTACCAAAACATGATTTACCTTTTTCACTGTGTTGACTTTTGCACTGATGATATAAAAGGACTAGCAGGCAAAACTTCTGGTGCCTTAACAAGAATCAAGGCAATGGCACCAAACTGTACTAGTAGTCATTGCATTCTTCACTGCAACACACAGTTTAAAAAACAAAAAAAAGGCAGTTTCACGTAAGAATGTCTTTGATAAAGCAGCAAAAAAAAGTATTAATTTTATTAAATTTCAACTCGAGCACACATCTTTTTAATATTCTGTGTGATGAAATGGAAATACACATAACTGCTGCTACATACTGAAGGATGATGGTTATCTTGAGAAAAAGCATTTGTGCAACTGAATTGCATGTTGAACTAGTGCTTTTATCATGAAACTATTTTTATTTTAAAGAACTATGATTATTCGCACTTGGGTATTTGACAGACATTTTCTCACAAATGAATGGAGTCTTTCACGTCAAGGAAAACTGACATTATATGTTGCCAATGATAAAATTTAAGCTCTCAAGCAAAAATTAGAATTTTTGGATAACTTGTATCCACTACCATGAGACTGACAGCTTCCCAGTACTTAAAGATTTCTCTGATGAGATCAGTGGTGATATTAACAAATGGGAATTTTTTTTTTTTATATATAATTAAGGGTGTCAACATTTGGAAAGTATTCATAACTCAGTGAACCAGTATTTTCCAATAGGCCAATGCATGATGCCACAGAATCACACACGAGTAAAAAATCCTTTCATAGTTTTAAGACAGACTAATAGATTTAAATGAAATAGAGTATGAAAAGATCATCGATATGGTTTCAAATACCACATTGCAACCAACCTTTAAGAAACTACTACTTGTCAAGTTGTGGTGTAGTATCAAAGAAGTTATTATCTGAGAAGGCTATAAAAATACTACTTTTTCCAACACCATATCTGTGTGAATCCTGATTCTCTTCATATACTTCAATCAAAACAAGTGCTCACAACAGATTGAACGCAGAAGCAGATATAAAAGAACACAACTGTCTTCTATTAAGCCAGACATTAGAGATTTGCAAAAATGGAAAATAATGCCATTTTTCTAAGTTTGTTTTATTTTGGAAAATATAGTTATTCTTCATATTAAATATATTACCATGTAATGGGTTTATTATTGTTGTTTTTAAG